TCACAAGGCTCAGGGGGCTGATGAAAAACCATCCTGCCCACAGGCTGGAGGCAGCTCCTTCATCCTCACTGAACCTCATCCTGCGTGTCTCTGCATGCGGCCACCTGCGTGACCTTTTGGCAATCGATCAGACCCTCGGGATGCATCCGGTGCTTTATCACCCCAGGGGATGAGATACGGAGACCACCTGCTCGGTGAAAGCTCCAACTCTGCGTCAGGGCGAGGTACAGGATCGGTCTTTGATGATGGAGGAAACCGGATAAACAGGGGATGGGATGGTTATTGGTACAGTGTGGAAAACCAGACATGGGTGCCATCTCCTGGTGCACGGCGGGGTCTGGCACCCTTTGCAGGGGTGTTGGCTGGAGGGATGTTGTTCCTCACTGCAAACGGCTCTCAGAATCCAGCTCTCGACAACCCCCAGAACATGCCCACTGAAGAGCAGGACACTGACATCATTCCCACAGCTGCACACAGCATTACTCCAGGTCAGTACACAGAGTCCTTGGACATCACACTGCACTAATAAGAAACAGATTACCATTAAACAATGCAAAGACACGCTCCAGGCCCTTGCAAATACAAGGGGGATTTTCAAAGCATGCCTCCCCCCTCCCCTCTTGCTCTCTCTCCCTTTCCCACATGCTGGTACTTGGAAACCAGAACAGAAAGGGACTTCAGGGTCATGGAGTCCAGACCCCTGATACTTGCCCCTTCAGGGGCTTTTAGCCTAGATGTATTTGTCCTCTAGCTTAAGTAGTTTTATTCTCCACCCCTGGTGCTGCCCCTTTGGTGTTTCTATGAGCAAAAATTTCATTATTTAATCACATAGGTATTAAATATTGGAGGCGATGGGAATCAGATTTGATTCGCAGAAGAAACGTGGAGCAGTTTGGCACAGAAGAGATGATTTGTGCTGACAACACCAGCAGTGATAAGCAGCGCCTCTGAAGGGGAAGGAGAAAGTGGGTTGCTTCAAGAGCAGCGGTCAGAGCAGAGGCATAGGCGCCAAATTGTGGCAAGTATTTTGAAGGGTGCCATTGGCTTTTAAATTTCTCACTTTTGTGATAGGAAGGTTTCCCTTCAGGCTTCCAAACCCACATCAGATATGGCTAAAACGTCACTGTTGTTGCTGCTGTTGTCACTAATATTATTAAGCATACCAACTGAAGGACTGATGTGACTTTTGAAGGTGTGGGGCTGATATTGAGGGAGGTAATCTTCCTGCCTGCAAGGGGCCTGTCTCCTCACATGGGCGAGTGCACCCAAGTTCCAGGGCAGGGAGGACGTTGATGTCTCCGTGCTATAACCTTGTTATTAAATCACAGTTAAGACCTATCCTACTCCACAAGCTGGAACAATGTTTTTTACAGGTCCAGAAGGACAGAAGAAGATGGGAGTAGATCATCTCTCTCCTGTGGTTACCTCTATAGGCTAGCAGTATGGTAGACCTACATCTAGGTCCTTACACACCAGTAGGAACACAGCAGATTGCAAGTTCACTTTGACAGCTAAAACTGGTGTAAAAAACTTCACTGGGCTTACTTGGCAAGCTTCCAAATGGACCACAGAAAATTTTGTCCTCCCACCTTCAATGGGAAAGGACTGAGCCTTCCCCGAAGAATCATATATGCCGGCTAATTCATAAAAATGGGTACATGCACTTCAGTTAATCCAGGCACTTCTGAGCAGCTGAATGACTTCGTAATGCCCAGAGCTGACATCAGTAGTAGCAGTGACCCATGACAGGGATGGGGATGCCAGACACTTCTCCTTCATTACGCCTCGGTTATCAGCTGTACCAAGAGACTATACCCATCCAGATGTGACTGGGGGTTGGGGGGGCACCAGCCTGTGTCAGTGTTCACTTCAGAGTCCAGGCTCCACTGGGAGAATGGCACCATCTCTCACGCTGCCTTGTCCATTATTTCAGCTTTATGAGGTGTCTTCTTGCTCCCTTAGAAATAGTCCTACACATTGCAGGACCACCACCACTGCAAATTTCTTGCCTAATGGACTAGGATTTCTGCTAAGCAAATGGGCACATCACTGGTTCACCCCTCTGACCCAGAGTCACTTGTGCTGGGGCAGGGCCACAGGATCCTGATCACACTCCAGCTGGAGTTGTTACAGCCTCCATAAAATGCTGTCTCTGCTTTCAGCTGTCTCCAAGATCCTGCTTCATTTCCTCTCCCAGAACAGCAGTGTAGCTGCTTATGCTTCAGAAAGGGCTGTTGAATACGCAGAAACCACATTTGGCCTAGGAGGAGCTGAAGAGAGCTGGAGCCTAAGAGTGTGCCAGACGAGAAGTATTACATCTTCTTACTTTGTTCTTCTTCTCTAGTATTTTACTAGGGAAATACATTCCTAGTAATACATTTTCAGGAACACACTGTTGCTGTGTTCCTCTTTTGGGACTTCTAGCAAGACTGATTAGTCCTTCTGAGAACAAGGAACAAACAAGAAGTTGGACAGAAAACCGGGTAATTACAGGAGACAACAAATGAAAACATTTGTTTTGCGAGTAAGAGTCATAGAGTCAATACTATAAGTGTAGGGAGCTGAAAAGGGACATAAACCAGCACATCCCTGTGCAGGCACCCACTGCTTCCTGAAGAACAGGGACACAAGCCAATATTACTTTGAGACAGGACGATGGAAGAGGAGCAGGCCCAACAGCTTCCAGGACGTGTGTCCAAAACTCATCAGGTTGCACACCCATCTCATATTCTTGCTAGTGCTGACCTACTGTTACTAATCCACATGGCATCCCTCACAACCTGAACAGAATCACACCTACCACACCACCTGAGAGAAGCTGCACTGGATAATGCTGCAGAGACCCATGTTAAATGAAACTGAGGAGCCTGGTGGGATTTCATTTTCCTCCTCCTTCATCGATCATTTTGTCCTCTGTTGTTCTGCTGTATATCCGGAACACTCCCTTGCTTTTCTCCCTTGGCGACCAGCCCACTCTCTGGCCTGGGGCTAAACAGATGAGTATTAGCTGAAGTTCAAAGCAAGAATAGGGTACTTCTTGGTGTGCCAGGAATAACCCCTCCGTCCTGCACTCAAGGCACTGTCCTCTACCTTGTCTGCAGGAAAACTATTTGATGGCAGTAGTTCATTGAGATGAGCCTTGGACTGTCAGGAACAAAGTTGGAGGATTCACAGCAGGGTCTGTACTCACCTTCAGATGATACTGCAGGAAAAAGCAATTAATTTGGAGCAGATCACCATGCTGCTGATTAAAATCAACTCTGGACTGGTATATTCCTTACTGGACTACTGGTCCTTTCTGATGTAGAACCGCATGGTTGACACATCCCTCACTTCTGGACTGTCTAATCCCCCTCATCTAGTGATACTTACAGAAGGCTCTTGTTCTTTCTTGGGTCTTCTCAAATGAATTCTCACCTATCAACCCACCTTCCCCTCCTAATTCAAGTTCATGTCTTGTTTAATGCCCAGGCAATGACATTACCCTACTCCAAAGATCTGGGCCATCCAACTGTCCATCTTCCTCCAGAGACTTGGAGTTTTAGCTACACTGAGCTCTGACATTTCCAAGGTCAAAGTTTGACTGCGTATTTATTCTAAGGTACAGAAACATAGTGACACCTAACAGCATTTTTATATTATTTCATGTGAACTAGCAATGTGTCACTAATTTCCACACTGCTATGGGTAAAGCCTTCTCTGTGCTATGCTAAGCTGTGAGCAAGGTTCTATGATGCTTAAGTATTTCTGTCAAGAGATCTTCAGGTCTCATAGGTTTTCTTAAATCTTAGGGTTTCCATTTTGTTCTGCCCATGGACACTACATATTGTTGTGTAGCTTGTGCTGTTATACTTTCTAGACTCTCAGATGGTACTCAGCTAACTTCTGTAGCATAATAAAGTTTCAAATCAAGCCAGAAATGACGGTGTTTGAAGATATATGTTGATTAGGCTCAAATCACGTTGCCACATTCCACAGCAGACCAGTAACTTACAAGTTGTGTTGCTGAATGGTTATGGGTCCTGGTGTATTCAACTGCATGTTGATGAAGTGATTAGATCTCTCCTTAAGGAAGCAAAGAGTTAACACTAGCATGTCCAGAAGGAAGGCATGTGACATCCATCCTGAGGTCCTGGACAGGGGGACAGAAGGTTTAACCATGCTATACACTGCTTGGAGTAGTTTTACTTGGTTAATGTAGGAGACACTCCCCAGCCGGCTGCACTCATCTTTAGATACTCTCTCAGACAGCAGGGGCTGGACCTGCTTCCTCAGCCTGCAGGTTTTCTGGCTGTCTTGATTGTCTGCTAAACATCTGGAAACTTGGCCTGGACAAACGATGCTATAAGATTTAATCAACTAGAAGAGATAGGCATGGTTCCCATCAGCCCCTGCCTTATTTTTCAAATAGTCATTTGTGCCAGCATGTTGCGGATCCCAGCAGCAGCACATTCCCCAGTCAGATCACACAGCGGGCCTCCTGCTTGGAGGGGTTGAGGATCATCAGACACGAAGTTCCCAACACGATTCATTCAGATGTTTTGCATTATCTGCTATTCAAACTGAAAACTGTTGAAAAGCCCAACACACCTGTATCTTCTTTCTGTCTTCTGCCGGTGGAGATATCTCCTACCATACCATTCCACTCAGTGTTTACAGCTGGAAAAGTAGACTTTTTACTGCATGCCCTCAGTTAGCAAAGAACAGCTGGGACTCCGGAGTGTAGAATTACAACGGAAGGATGAGCGCCCAGGAACTGAACAAGAAAAGCAAAGTTTCCACAGAGTTGACATTTTCCGTTTTATTCTGTTGTTTCCACAGTTATAAAAATAGAGAGAATCAAACCTTAAAATGAAGTGATATAATCCTTAGTAATAAAAGCAGTGATCTAATAATAATATTACATGAAAAACTATAAAAGCATGAAGTATTTTTCTGAAATATACATAGCCATAAAAGTGATCTTCATAAAAAAAAAAACCAAAAACAAAAACAAAAACAAAAAACCCAAAACCAAACAGAATGCATTGCTCTTATTACTTCTTTGGAACAGATCAGAACATGAAAGATGTTACACGCTGGCCTCTCAAGAGGGTACTCACAGGATCTGACTGCAGAATCAGCAGACATGAAAGTTCTGATCCTGGGGCATGGTCTTCATCCCCACTGGACTCTCAGGAAAGAGAGTCTTGTAAAGACCCAGAGCACTGTGTCTTGGCTGCCCAGCTGCACATCCAAGCTTCCTGATGGTTTCTCATGTACTCCTTCTGACACTTAGCAATGCCCAGTCAGCAGTAAGAGCCTTCTCTGGTGGCAGGATGAAGCTCGTAGTTCAAGGTTGCAGTAGAAAAGATTGCCAGGGACTGGCTTTTCAGGTCTTGTAAATAATGATGCACAAATGCTTAAAAGCATGCTGCTGATGCCTGTTAGTATTCAGTTCTCCCACAATGGAGGAAGACCCTAGCAAGAAGAAAGAAACATGAACATTAAAAAATAGATACCAAAAGCTTAAGTTACCTCTTCAATGTGACCAGAGTTTGAAAATATAGCATCTAGACCAAGAAATCACTCTGATCCACCTTCAGCATGCTAGATAATCTCCCCTGGGACACAGCTTTCCAGACAACAGGGCGGCATCTTGGAATTTACTGTGCCATGCAAACCCGTCCTAGAAAGACACTCAGGAACAGAAGCTTTTAAAAGGTGGCAGATTACATAGCTGAAGCCAGGGGAAGTGGAGCTAGATCCTGTGGAAAGGCAGAATTTTGGGGGTTAGAAAGGCCCTCTAGAGGTCTCTAGATCAACAAGTTTGCAGCACAGCTAACCCCAAAGCTAGATCTGGCAGCTCAGAGGAAAGTTCTTGGCGGGGTCTGACAGCCTCTCTGGGCACCTGTTCCAGTACAGCACCACTGTCGGGGAGACTTTTTCCTTCTATCAGTTGGGATTTCCCAAATGCCTGTTGCCTCATTTTCCCTCTGTGTGGCTTTGAGAAGAGGCTGGCTCTGTCTTCTCTGTCTTTATGCAGTGGAAAACTGCAGTTAGACCCCACTTAGCTTTCTTTTCTTTAGGTCTAACAAAGCCAGTTCTCTCAGCATCTCCCTGTAGAGCAAGTACTCCAGGCTTCTGACCATTGCAGTGGTACTCCACCAAACCCTTTCCAGTCCCTCAGTGTCTTTCTTATGCCAGGCAGGCCAGGACTTGACAAACAGTCTGTATTTCTCTGGAGCATGTGCCTGGAACTCACTCTCCTCATTACAACTCTGCATAATTGATACAATGGGGCTGGGTGTTCATAAGGGCTCAGCACACAGGCCTTCCCCTTCCTTCTGTGGAGGGTTGATGGCTAGTCAGATCTACCGATAATGGATCCTATTCGCCTTCATTTTAGGGGAGGGTTGAGTTTGGCTGAGACAGCAAAGACTCAGCGTGAGTGTCCCAGTGCAAGCTTCCTAGCCACTGTGACTCTGCAGTAGTCAACAAGATTGCCAGGGGCACAGGGAGGAATAGGTCTTTGTTAGCTGGCTTTTTAAAACCAAGACCTAAAGGGCATATTCTCCTTGTACTGCTGCCCAGGGAACTGTGCTGAGTTGGCTGTAGTCTGTCAGTACTCACAGACATTTAGCAGACAGCTCTGTTCAGCCCCCTGGTAAGCCTCGCACTATGCATTTGATTGTGCGTAAGCTGCCATCTTATTTAATCATCATCTCAGACATTAGGAGACTCGGGAAGGCTGAAAGCCAAGGGAGAAATATCTCCTCAACAGTTACATTGCATTAACTACTCGGTTAGATCAGCTGACTGACTGGATAACGCCACTGACTGTGTATCCTGTCACCTGAACATCTTAGGTCAGGTCCAGAGGTATTAAAAGACCTATGTGAAGTTTGGGGTGAAATGAAATCTAATTCTAACTTTTCCTCAGTCAGAAATAAAACTAAGCATTTATAGCATCCTACAAACAGGTTAATTTTTCTCCTTCTAGACTGTCTGTATTATGTAGGTCTGTGCATCCCTTCCTCTATCTCCTGCCGTCCATTCTGCTAGCCCCCATTCTACATATGGGGACCAGTTCAAGCAAGAACCGGCCTGCCCCACAAAGAGTGGCTGAGCCAGGAAGTGAACTCCACTCCTGGTCTTCTCTCCTGTTCAGTAGACCACCTTCTCTTTCTCATATAGTAGGATATCAGGCTGTAGAAATAACTTCTGCAGTTGTATGGATTGCAAGAAACAGGGAGTGCAGGTCTCAGTCATATGATACTCTTATGTGTAAGCTCTGACCCTGATAGTGAATCCACCCATCTGGGCTTTTGAACTTAACTAAAACCAGTGGCCCTGTCCTGAGAGGCAGAAAGAGTGTACTTGAAGCATGTTTACACAGCTGAAGGAGCTTTTGGGACCAAACAGCTCCAGTAAGCTGCAAGCTAATGAACTTGTAGCTGATCCTTGTAAAGGGTTGAAATGATTTACCCTTTCCTTAGTAAAAAAACCTGAGTATTGTTAATTCTCTTCTCTACTCCTGGCCACAAAGGCACAATGTAGCAGCATAGTCCCTGGCAATTTCTTGCCCGCTTGGCCCTCTGTTCATGCAGCATCAAGCCCATGCTTATTTTTCCTAATATCATTTCTGCTAACACTGTTCCCAGGATCCTCCAAACCTCCTTTTCCTAGGCTTTTGCATTACTTTTCACTCTCAGTGTTTTCTTTAAATGCTTACTAACCGAAAGGATATGAAAGAGCTCCATACAATTCAGAAAGATGTATGAAGAGAAGCTCCAGGGCCAATAATCATCTTCTCCATGTTGATATGCAACAAATCTTTTCCAGCAGTAACTGTAATCTGAGAAGAGAGATATCCAATCACTCTTGATGAAAGGCATGCCCAGTTCTTTCTGCATTATTATGTCAGTGAGTCACTTATTTCTCACTAAGACAATGGTAAAAAGCAGGAGAAAGATATTCATCTGAGTGTATTCATGCAGGGAACCAACAATGACTTGCATCTACACAAATAAGTTAGTGGAAAGGGGAACCAAAACTCCTCAAATAGCAACATGTCTAAAAAGAGGAATTGCCAGAGACAGAGATCACTACAGTGGCTTGGGTAACCCCTACCACTGGTAGCACATCAGGGCATAAAGCCAGAGCACGTTGGCCAAGGGAGAAGGAATCAATGAGTGGCAGCTGCTTCTTTGGGGGAGACTGAAAAGGGGAGTGGCACATGCAATCAGGGCTGTTCAGGCATACTTTCTGGGAGCCTTGTGCTTGATCTCAGCAGCTTTGGCTAAGACAATAAACTTGTTGCTTCAATCATGAATCTGACTTATCTTGATGGTCAGAGAAAACCTGAACACCCTAACATTTAGCAGTCTTGCATTGATCTTAGTGTCAATAGGATGGCCAGAGCTTTTGTCAATGCTCTCTGGTGGTGTGATCCCAGAGACAGATTTCCCAACATAAATAATGTCCGCCAAGTTCACATTTGACCTGGTAAGTTTTGTAGCTGCACACTCCAGTAGTAAGTATCCAGACAGGTATGTGAGATTCATATTTTCAAATGTAGATTCCTTTCTTTGAACTGCTTGTCTATTTTGAGCCAACAATGAATATGAGCCAGCAGTGTGTGTTTCCAGCCCAGAAAGCCAACTGTATCCTGAGCTGCATCAAGAGCAGTGTGGCCAGCAGTCCAAGGGCAGGGATTCTCCCCCTCTGCTCCACTCTAATGAACTCCCCTTGCAGTGCTGTGTCCAGCTCTGGGGCCTCCAACATAAGAAGCACATGGACATGTCTGAGCGGGTCCAGCCGAGGCAACAGATGATCAGGGGCTGGAGAACATCCTCGGTGAGGACAGGCTGAGAGTTGGGGTTGTTCAGCCTGGAAGGCTCCAGGGAGAACTTACAGCAGCCTCCCAGTACTTAAAGGGGGCTACAGGAAAAGCTGGGGAGGGGCTCTTTATCAGGGAGTGTAGGGATAGGATGAGGGGTAATGAAAAAAACTGAAAGAGGGTAGATTTAGATTAGATATAAGGATATAAGGAAGAAATTCTTTACTGTGAGGGTGGTGAGGCCCTGGCACAGGTTGCCCAGAGCAGCTGTGGCTGCCCCCTCCCTGGCAGAGTTCAAGGCCAGGTTGGACGGGGCTTTGGGCAACCTGGGCTAGTGGAAGGTGTCCCTGCCCATGGCAGGGGGTTGGACTAGATGGTCTTTCAGGTCCCTTCCAACCCAAACCATTCTGTGATTCTATGATTTTTACAGCCAAACGTCATCAAGCAAGCAAGATATACATGCATAAAGACAGACATGCAAGAAATGTTCTCTGTGATGCATCATCTGAAAGTCTCCTTTAGATATGTCTCCTTCTCTTCCCCAGCTATCAAGAGAACCAATTACTTGCCGCAGCTGGCAAGCTGATCTGCATACATATACTTGGAGGGACAGATTCTATCTTATGCTCAGGATTTTTCACTGTATATAAAGGAGGTGTGGATGGTTACAGAAAGACCTAACTCTCCCTGTTTAGATTTATCAAGAGGAAATGACCATGCCGGTCCTGCTGCTGGGTGGGATTAGGGAAGAACTAAGGCAGAAGAGTGGCATTTTTGCACTCACTAGTCCTCCCCAATGCCAGTCATCACCGCTATTACAAAGCACAACTGCTGAGAGTGCACATAACCCCAGACCTTTCCATTCACACCTAGACAGACCAAAGAGTTGTTGGGTTACCTGAAAGATTCATGATACGTATAATGACTCCATTTGTTGACAGGCTCCTGAGACCTTGCAGGTTACGGATATCCAAGTGCCTGAACAGCTTGGCTGCGTATATTTCCAAGGTCACATTGGGATGTACCCTCAGGAACTCCAGAATTCTTCTGGAGCATTTCCCACAGGGTGTAGTAGATAGGACCCAGGTGATGGAGCAAGAAGCTGATGGCATGGCCTTGAAACAGTTTTCCAAGAAGTTGACTTCAGCATGTTGGGTAGAATTGTTTGAGCACCAGTTCCTCCAGGTGGTACCTTTGCGCCACCTGATTTCATACAGCAGGTACACCACCTTTGGATGTTTGTCAGGCAAATAATTTCTTTTGAATTCATTTGGCTGTATCTTCCACCTGCGACAAAAGTACCAGCAGTACTATGATCCCAACATTTCAATGACGTTTGGTCCCATTGTGCATTGCCTGCTCTCAACATCAGCCAAGCCTCCCACTCTCAGCCTTTCACATCACAAATGAGCAGCTTGAAGGAATTTGCAATCTAATGATCTAAACCGGGAATTTGCTTAGGCTCCAGAATTCCCCTAGAGTGGCCCTGGTGAAGCACAGAAAGCACCTCCTTGAGAGGTGCTGGGAGGGTAGGCAACAGCATCGCCACTCTGAGATCAGCAGGGTCAAAGCAGCAAGAGAGCTGGAAAGGAAAATAGGGGAAAGGGATGGTAAGAAAACAAGGCACAAAGCTTCTTAACTTTGCTCATCTCTGGAAATTGCCATGGGCCCCAGGTAGCACACAGTGATAGAACTCTTACCTTTGGTTGCTCGGTCTGGGTGCAGAACCTATATAAAAAGGATTTGTGAGTCATTGGAGATAGGAGATCAGAAAACAAAATTTCCTCTACACCTACTGTCCTGGCTCCTTTCAGACTATACAATCCCTGCCAAATCTCTTTTACCTAGAAGGGCTTAATAAGTAGTCCGAGCACAGCAGGATAGCCACTCTGGGATGCCGAACTCATGGATTTCTACCCAGGAGCTAAACTTGATGGTTGTTTAAACTATGCTGTACATGAACCCTTGCTCACTTTAACACATTAGGGTTGGCTGTGATCTCGCTCAAGTTTAACTTCACTGATTTCAGCAGTACTGCACCTGCTTTTCCCTGAGCAATTCAAGAGCAGAATCAAATCTCTTCTCCCTTTGTATTTTCTAAACCACTTCTACTAGGCAAAACTTGAGCTGTTTTCCTGTTGGTACTCATAATGTCAGTCTAGATAAAAACATTTTCACACCCAGTGGTTCTTTCTTTTCTTAGTATGAAACCATTTCAAAAGCTGAAAAAATGTAAGCACCAAGGAAAAAATATCAGTGCAGAAAGAAGGATAATTTCTGACTAACACATACCTATGGGGTGGCACCACAGACCTGCCTGATTTTTGTCTCTCATGGTAGCAAAGAAGTTTGACCCTATTATCCATTGATCCCTTTCTAGCTGACAGTCTGGATGAAAACAATTGCAGGTGAACAAGGCTAGTTATTTCTTTTGTAAAAGTCCATCCATAACAAACTTAAGGATTTAAGAGCCCTCATTTTATTGAAGAAAATAATTAATTTACTTAGAATTAAGATTCTAAAGGCACAATTTTCCATATCTCTTAGCTCTTTAAGATGAAGAATTATTTGAGATCTCTTTCTACATTGAGAGGTCTTTCGGAATTAGAATTCTTCCTGCCTAATGCCGCATCAGGGTTAAGAAAACTATATTAATGTTTTGAAGCTGGACCTAATCCTCAAGGTACAGTAATGCATTCAAAGAGATGACACACACAAATCCACAAGTGTCTCCTGTGTATCTTCACATACCAGCACACACATTTGTCTGTACTCACCAGTTCCTTAGATACAACCACAGTAAACATCTACACTGAATCTGAAGAAATAGACCTACTTTTCACATACGTGTACTTACCTCTACCAGTGACAGCAGCCATGGATATTTCTGGGTTTGTCCGTCTCCTCTTGGGTGATAGGTGTCCCTTTACTGATGGATGTTCCTTTATTAGTCTTACATTTGTTTCAGTTTCGATTCCTGAAGACTGCAATTTAGACGTTAGTAATATTACCCAGCTGAATATTTCTTCATGGTGACTTGCTTTTCTGCAAATAATCTACCTCACTGGGTGAAATTGAAAGCAAATTCCTGGCAGCAAAAGACCTCAAAAGAGGGTCAGTCCCATGTATAAGTGGATCTAGGGGTGTAGACAAGGTTGCCTGCCGGAAGCTGGAATTAACAGATAAGCCATTTTTTTGCAGTGCAAAATAGAAATTATATTTCTTTATTACCACAAGTCCCAGAATAGAAAAGCAACTCTTCTCTTGTCACCCCAACGCACCAAGAGAGAAAGAGCATCTGCACAAATGGCATGAAGTCATAGCTGTGGCATGACAGGTAAATTTTCTGGCACCCAGATATCATCAGAAAATTGAGCAGAACTGAGTGGAGAGAGGAAAACAGATGTCATTTGCAAAAGCTTGTGATTTTATGGATCTCCAACAGGTGGTAATGGCTACTGCCATTTTCCTTCATGGGACCATTCTGTGGAGTTCCAAGGACCACTCACACACCCTTGAACCTGGGTCCTCACATAAGCAAGGAACACCCTCAATGTGTGCGAGGACACATCTTTAGCTGTGGTCAGCGACCGGGCAGACGCTCTCAGGCAAACTCTAAGCAAGCTGCCCAGCATCCAGAAGAACTATGGCAATGAACAGTTTGTTGTGGGGGAACACCCAGATATTTCTGAAACTTTACGGCTGAGAAGAGCTCTGTGCTCACGTGGGCACCCTGAGAGCAAGACCTAGGCCAGCTGGTGAGCATCTGCAGAAGCTATTGGTCATGACAGATCAGTTCCCTGATGTAAAAAAGAATAGATTTTTTTCCAGTGCTCTGAGAAATCTGCTCAACATTATGAACTGGGCATCACCTTTCTGTGATCTGTTCTGTAACTCACACAAGATGCAGCAAAAAAATATTTCCCAATTAATCTGAAAAAATGAGTGAAACAATGCTAGTTGCTAGTGAGAAGCTTTCCTCTGGCTGACACACCCAAAACAGGCTTGCAGAGCAAAGGCATTACAAAAGAATTCTTCATATGGCCTAGCTAGAGATGACTGTGCTGAGTCAGTCTCTATGATCTACATTTTCCTCTGGTTTTGTTATACTGTTATTTCGTGGCCGCAGAAATGGATACGCATTACTCCCTGAGGACAAAGCCATTCCTTCCTCAATGCCAAGTCTGATTTGGGATTGTAAAGCTTGGGGAGTAATTTATTTGTATTCTCCAAGGCCAGCCTTCAATATTCTATTGTCAAAAAAATACTCAGTTTCCTGCAGGGGCAGAACAAACAGAAGTAAACATGAATGGTGGAGTACAGAGGGAGGAGGGATTCAGGCAGTGGCAAGGCCCTTGGTGAAGGAGAAGGCTGGTCATGGCAGGTTATCGGGCAGCAGAGTGACGACACAGCATCTGCCTTCGCTTTGCATCAGGGCCTTTGCTGCCGCAAGGCCACCACTCCACAGCACAGAATTGTTCCACAGTGGCTGCATTAGCTCATATCTTCGGAAGCATGAATGGGATCAGCTCAGACACTCAGAGACTTCTTGAAGCAAGCAGAAAAGTGTTTGACTAATGTGGTTTTGAGTTCATGGACATGATGGACATGATAGTCAGTAAGGCCAGAAGTGCATCAATACTACAGTATTCTCTTCACTTCTCTCTGCAGTAGATATTTACAAATATGCAGTTGTAAACTAGGCTTTGAGATGCTTAGTCCGGTCTGCAAGAAATGGCTTGATTAGCAGCAGTGCTCAGTAACAGTAGTTCCTGGTATAAAACCAACTGGTGTGCCGCCAGCAGAGAAGACAGAATGAGTCCAAGCAGAAGCAGGGAGTTTGCAATGCAACATTTCCAGGTGTGTCCAACAAGCTGAATGTGCTCTATGAGATGATGGAAAACCAAAAAAAAAAAAAAAAAAAAAAAGAAGAAGAAAGGAAATGTTAGTCTGTTGTTCCTGTCAGCTCAATGTGAGGAGAAGAATCCCTTCCAAATCTGGCAGTTGGTTTAACCCTAACAAAATCAGAAAGACAAGGTCACCACACAAGTGAATTTTCATGCTTCTAGAACTTGCACATTCTGTCTACAGGGACCAAACTTCAGTGCTTCAGAGTATGGTGATGACCTCCGGAAGGGTCATATATCCAGGTGGAAAAACTCTTTCTTGGCTTTTATGAGCAAACAGCAGTAATCCAGTAAGCTTTTAAGATGCTACCTGTCTGTAGCAAGAGTCATGTATATGGGTGGGACCTCATAGTACTGTGCTGCGACCAGATTTTTTTTTTTTTCTATTCCTCATGCTGTCAGTTATCTCCCTTTATAGAAGCTGCTTAAGATAGTGTTAGAGATAAATATGAAGGTGGTTTGTAATGCTGAGCTATCAGTAACATCTGAATATATCTCACCCACTCCAGCAAATGGATTTTTTTAAAAACAAGCACCACCCCTATACACACACCTCCTGAACATAAACGCATTTTGGAGGAACATACACAGCAAAGGGCACACAGAATGGTAGACATACACTCACTCATGACTCCTTTAGCCATCAGGTTCCTTAGTCCTTCACAAAAATATTCCCTTTGGTCGTAGTGGAGCCATGCTTGTATACATATGACCAGATTCACTGGTAATCATGTAGAAACTTCAGTTTCTTCAGAACACTTTGCAGAGGGACTCACAGAATCATCTAGGTTGGAAAGGACCTTGAAAATTATCCAGTCCAACCGTTAACCTGGCACTGACAGTTCCCAACTATACCAGATCCCTCAGCGATCGACCATCGAGCATCCCTCGACCTGACTCTTAAACACCTCCAGGGATGAGGACTCCACCACCTACCTGAGCAAACCATCCCAACTCCTAACAACCCCTTCTGGAAAGAAATGCTTCCTAATACCTAGTCTAAACCTTCCCTGGGGCAACTTGAGGCCATTCCCTCTTGTTCTATCGCTTATTACCAGCTCTCTGCACCCTCCTGTCAGGGAGCTGTAGAGGGCGATGAGGTCTCCCCTCAGCCTCCTCTTCTCCAGACTAAACCCCCCCAGTTCCCTCAGCCGCTCCCCA